ACACAACCCTGCGAGTCTATCCCCTTCAGCTGATCAACCCCCTTGGTTTGCCCAAGATCAAACTAAATCAGAACAAGACAAGCCACTAATGGGCATGTGGACTTCACCTGTGTGGAGTGCCAGAGAATTGCAAAGAGACGCTGCTTGATCTGGCGTACCAACTCCAAACCAGCACTGAACTGCTCTGCTTTCAGGAACTGAAGAGAAGAGGCCAAGTCCTGGTACTGCAGCAGGGTTTCCTCTGCAATTCAAGGCCAACAAAGTCATGCTGCATTCCACACTCTTAAGCAGAGACTCGGTTCTTGGCTCTGATTATGAAGTAGCCACAGCTACTTAGATCTCTTGTGCACATACACTTCTCTTTCAGAAGGGAACTTCGCAGGTATTACATCAAGAAGGCAAAAATGGGCTGGGAGAAGTGAGATGCCAGCTGGGTGCTGATGTGTATGCCATTGCAGCACTACAGAGCTGCTGCTCTTTGAACCAGACAGCCTGGAATGCTAGTTGCTACTCTAAAAGAAGCTGCGGGACTTACCCAGGAGGATCTGCAGAGCGTTAGTGAGCAGCTCTAGGCTCTCAGTCTGTTGTTCCACAATATCCATGCTCTCAGTGTCCTGGTTATAGTAGCTGTACACACAGGAGTAGGCCAGCACCTGGAACAGTACAGATCATGCTGTTAAGTGTCCTCCTTCAGTTTCAGAGTGGGCAAGAAGAAAGCATCAAATCCTTCCAGACCTCGTTATTATCAGTGGCTGAGAGAAGCCTGGCAGCACTTCTGGTCTGCGGCCATAGCCCAGTGACCCATTATACCAAGTGACAGAAGTGCCAAGCTACCTAGAGCTACTCATACATTTGCAAATCAATGTGCAATTATTTTATATTGAAGTCAGAAATAACTGATTGTTCCCACCTGCAAACGATCACAGACTGTAAATGCATAACAGGTGTGACTGACCAGCAGGTAAAGCGTCAAAACCACCAGCACACAGGATCTAGGTACTGCTGGGCAGCCCAGGCTGAACTCAAGTGGCAATGAACTTGAGAGAATGGGGCCCAAAGAGAAGCAGGCAAGAGCCCATGACAAAGGCATTTCAACCAGCGGCAAACTCCTATTACAAATGAGTGACCCCTGAAGCAATCCAGGCATGCAGCAGGAAACAAGATCACTGTTTCCATTTAAAGAAATGGGCCAGAAAAGTCAGCAGCAGCAACCAGCAACAGTGATATGTATCCTGGAAAACACAGGGGCTACCATACTGGAAAGACAAAATAGGGTCAGGCAACCTTGTTCTACATGCTTCTCTCAAAATCAAGCCTGCCTGTACGAACAAGGTGTATGCAAAGTCAGTACTGCAACGACAATTCCCACCTCCTGCCTATGTTTCAGGTGACAGAAAGCACTGCAGGCCTAAGATGTCACAGGCTTACTGCACACATACAGTGGCTGCAATGGAAATCCTTTTTAATGTGGCTGTCAGGGTGTGCAGTAGGTAACTCAGTGCTTCCAAAATATCTACAGCTCATGAAATAATGACATAATGACATATAATAATAGGTACTTCCTAACTGTAACACAGCATCAGGAGAGGTTTCAAAAGGTAAGTACCTCTACTGGGGCATTTCGAATTGGAATGGATCAAACCCAGTATAAGAAACCCCTAAATTTAGACCCTTGTGTTGATTCCACAGTGTCAGCTTGAGCTAAGCTCCAAATCCAAATGACTGAGGAACACTGCAAACAGAGCCCAACTCAGAGTAGGAAAAGACAGACATGAGCTATTCCTCTGTCCCAATGCAATTCCTCCCCTCGAGATTTTTCTGTCTCCCCTGGTTTGGAGTAGGACAAAGCTGTTGTCTTCTCACTTTAAGAAAGGCATAAAACACACCAAGAGAATTAGGTTTAAACCTCATCAAGACTGTTGTCCAGCCTTACCTTCCATGCCTGTTCTAGCACTTTACAGGCATCAAGAACAAAGGTCAAATTCCTCATTTTTGGCATCTCTCTGATGGAAGAAATGCTGCTCCTCAGACTCATGGCAAATTCCTGAAATAACCAAACAAGGGGAAAAAGAAAAGCCAATGTCAAGCTCCACAAGACTGAACAAATAGTGCCTTCTACACAGATAATTGCTAAACATCCTGAAGTGTCACCCCAGAAGATGCAGGAAGCAGCAGAGCATTTAACGCATCCAACTATGACATATCTACTGTGCCATCACTTGAACCTTTTACAGTATCCCAGCCCTAGGCAGAAGATCACCATTGCTTCCAACTACAGCATCAGTTTGAGCCCCTGAACACCACAAGTCAGGTGCTCAGTTTCCACAACAGACTTGGTAGAAGAAAGCAGGCCAAGAACTTCCCCTTATGTGAGACCAAGGGCAAAATGACCAGGCACCCCCACCTGGATCTGAGGCCTGCTTCTCAGCATCAGGTGATACACACTGAGACACAAGAGAAACTGTCCTGCTCACCAGGGCTAAGACAACAGTCAGCATCTGCAAAGGAAGGAGGAGGCCTTACCCTTGCGTGATGATGAAAGGTACATCTCTCATTGTAATCCTGAAAGCGCTTCTCCTGCCAAGCTGCTTTACTCACCTGAAAAGAAAGTTACAAGTAACCTGCAGCAATTTCTCTCAAGTACTAGGGCTGCCTGGAAAAGGCTATCACACATACAGACTTAGACAATACTGTCAGTATTACTGGCAAGTCCACGAAGTCCAGAGTAAAGGGCCCAAGTGGAGATCCTCAGCCTCTCTCTGAGAGGCCAGGTGCCTCCGAACAGAAGCATGAACCACAGGGCTAGAGCAAACCACTCACCATAGCAGAGCAGTTGTAATAATCCTTATGATTTGGTCTCCAGGGCTTGAGACAACGCCAACAGAAGCCATGATTACACTTTGCACATGTCATACTGCACGGTAGGAGAAGAACAATGGGAATCACTCAGTCCCAACAGCCACTTTCAGACAGTTTCTTCCAGTGCTCCCCAACATCACAGCACTGGTGTGTGCCACCCAGTCACTACCATTCACTCAGTACTACACATTTCCCTGCATATATTTTTTAAAGCCTCTGCTAGAAGCAGAAGATGCTTAAAATCAGTCACTGTGTCTCCAAAATTGAGCCGAGTAAACTGACAACACAATCTCACAGTACCAATTTATCAAGTACTCCAAGAGTGACTAAGCATTCCACAGTCTGAAACAAGATCCACATGAGCACCTCACCCTTCCCTTACTAATGTAGCACTCCACAGTGCAGAAAGGCACTGCAGAGCCCTAGGGCCACACACAACATGTGGGGACAAACCACAGGTTAGCATTAAGGGCTGTACCAGTGCAAGAGAGAAGCAAATGGCAACTTCTAAACCCTAGCTTCAAAGCTGGAGGAAACTCCCTTATCGTGTAAAAACCTGTCAGAGATCCCAGCTGATTCAAAAGAAACAGTTAAAAAGAAAATTGCTTTAAGTTACAGGAATAGGTGAGCATGAAAGAAAAAATGGTGCTGAGCTATCCACTCCCCTAACCTGTACCTCTCTAGGGCTATAGTCTGAGAGCAGACAACTGCACTATTAAAAGGTACTGCAAAATCAGTTTTTGTTCTACCACAGAGCTATCAACAGATTTTAACTCTGTATGCTGAGGAACATTTTGCTTTCCCTAGGAATTAAAAGCAATCACTTATTCTTCTAAAACTATAAACCAGACCTGCTATAACTCTTACCCCACAGTCAAAAAACCCCAAACAAAACAGCCAAGCAGAGTAGACCTAACTGTATGTCTTTGCCCTCTCCTGTCTCCAGTAGCAAACAAAAATGTATACTCACTGCAGGCACCCCTCATTTTTCTCTATCTGAGCTTGGCAGTTTGGACAGTGCTTCGAAATGAGCTTAGCCAGATGTTTGCTTTGGGCTTCACTTGTCATTCCCTCATAGTATCCACCATCATCCACCCACCGAGACATGTGGCTGCAGCTGGCAGGATAATGGGCCTAAAAGAGAGACAGTCAACCACACAAAAGCAGAATGGTTGCATGCAAAACCCAAGACAGTACTGCCTGTGATTCAGCTCAGCCTCACCTCTGGGAAGTTGCAGTTGAAACAGGACATCCAAGAGCACTTGGAACAGGCTGCTCCATAACCAAGTCCATCCTTCAGGAGGATCTGATCACAGCCCTGAGGGTTGGTGCACCATGTCAGGTTGGAGCAACACTCAACATAGCGCCTGAGGAGAGCTTTTTCATACTGTAATAAGAAGACAGGAAGGAGATTCAAGGCAGAGAAGCGACATGGTTAGGCCTTATACCTGGGGTCTGGTGCCTGTGGGTTATACATCTCACTGAACAACTGCTCACAACAAAACAACATCCAGTTAGTTTACTCTTTCATTCCCTTTGTGTAAATTCCACATGCTTGGAAAGCATCTCTGGAAATAAAACTAGTCCAACTCCTCCAGCTCAAAGAAGGGCTGCTTGGGACCCTGCCCAGTTGGGTTTTGAATATACCCAAGGATAGAGACCAGAAACCTCTGTGCCCAATCTGTTCCAATGTCCCACTACCCTTACTATCAAAAACAAACAAACCCAACAAGCAGCTTTCTTATGTTTAAATGGAATTACTTGTATATAACTTAGTGTCCACTGCCTCTTATCCTTTCACTGGACATCACCAAGAACAATCTAGCTCCTTAATCTCATTTGTGTACCAACATGTGTTGGTAAGATCCACCCCGAGCCTTTTCTTCTCCAGGCTGAACAAACCCAGCTTGCAGCTTCTCCAAGAGGTGTTCCAAACCTAACTCATCTTTATGGCCTTTGACTGGATTCTCCCCAGTATGTCCATGTCTTTCTTGTCCTGGAGAGCCCAGAAATGGCCACAGTACTCAAGATGTTGTCTCACCAGCACTGGGTAAAGGGTGATCACCTTCCTCAGTCTGTTGTCAATGCTCCTCCTAAATCAACCTAAACCACTAGTGAACCTTCTTAGCCACAAGGGCACACTGCTGGTGTATGCTCAATTTGTTGTCCACCATTATCCCCTTTTCATTCCTGCACAGATCTTTTCCAGATGGTTGGCCCCAGCACCTGAGTGTTATATTACACCAGGAGCAGGACTTGGGCATTTCCCTTTGTTGAACTTGGAGCAGTGTGTTTTAACTTCAGTGTTAGATCTTCATACAACAATCTGGTTATTTTGAGCACAGGGTTGCACCAGAGATCTCCATAGATTATTGCAACCTAAGTTATTCTATGACTCTTTGTGTCTCTGCATGAGGCATTAACACTCCAGCCATATAATTTGCTGGGCAAAAGGGAAATAGGTAACATTTCAGTGACAGCATCAGAGCAGCTTGTTAAAATTAGCTGCAATCTATGCTGACCTGCAATAATTTATATTTTTCATAAAACAACCATAGCAACATCCTACTCTCAGACTAGTGTGACTACAGGATTTGCAAAGGCAGTAAGGACTAACTGCCCAGATATGTGTTCTAATTCTTCCTACAAAAAAGAGCACTTCTTATAAAAAATAAGACAAAATAAGCCAATGCTTTTCTGCAGCCTTGCCCATTTTGCTTGCCAGTTTGCCAACTTAAAGAAAAATTGTAAGATAGAGAAGTCTCTATGACTATTGTTAATTTCTCCTTACGACTGGTCAGACAGGATCATAATGACACTAGAAAGTTGGAAGAAAGTATTTTTGGAGAAGCAATTGCTCATGAAGACCTGTCAAACAACAGACCAATGGAAAACAGACAAGACTGTTCTGTACAGCAATTAACAAAAAGAGTCTGCCATGTGACAGCCACAGTTCTGCCATTAGGTGGGGTGGGCATTCACCTCTAATAACGACAAACTGAAAGAACAGAGAGCAAAAGTAGCTTCTGCCTCAGAAGGAGCAGCTACTGCTGTCCCCTGCTGACCAAGGACTAAGGTAAGCAGAGCTCAGGAAGCCTGGTTTAGAGATTGCTGTAGACCCACACAGACTTAAGAGTGAAGATTAAATCTGATGTGGTAACTTCTGCCAACTTCATAAAAACCCAAGGTGCTCAAAGCCAGAGACTGATGGAAGAGAAAGTACACAGGGGTCACTGATGCAGCAATAAAGTGAAATTGTTCATGTGATTTAATTTGTCCTAGACTTTAAAATTGCTTCCAGCACTCCAGCAGAGGATACTTGTCAAAAGCTCCTAGCACAGTTCTCACCTGGTTCTGAACCAACAATGCACCTGAAATGCTGTTTGCTGGAGACATGTTTAGAGAAAATACCACTGTGCTCTTTCGCCGATGTTATGCTTTCCTGAATTGCTGGTATTGCCCATAACCAGAGACCACATACACCACTAGGCAAATATCTGACTGGCCTCAATTATCACATTGCCAGTCTTAGTAATGGGAAGGGGAAAAGCAGCAGTTGAGTATCTGGTAGCGCTGACCAAAATGAAACGGAGCTTGGCCACCCAGCAACCACCTGTCCTACTTCACCTTGGCTATAATATCCTCAGAGGACACAATGGTGCAAATGAAGGCTGCAGTTGGCTGTGCACGGCACTCAGATATGGGACAAGTGCAGTTGACAACCATGTTCTGTTCAATGCGAGTCGTGAGATACTCGCTCCAACAGGGCTGTGAAGGAAGAAGAGGAGAGATCAGACCTAAACAGGGTTGTGTGACCCTGGAAGCCCTCCTCACCCAGCAGAGGGTGCACAAAACCCCACCAACCACGGGCAAGTACTCAAAAGCATGGAAGTGGGAACAGAAAAATCAGGAGCTGAAGTGATCACAACAAAAAAGGGAGCTGAGAAAAGAGAATTCATGAGCTCTGAAAATCCTCTGATAACACCTTCAGACAAAGAACTGTTACTTCAAGTAGGCAGCAGCAATTCCCCACCAAGTTACAGGAACCAAAGACCCCAGGACCTTCACCTTGCAGCAGTAGTGCATGCAGCAGAGTGTTGGTGGTTCCTCAGTGGGACACAACTGGTTCACACAGACTGGGCAGTGGGATCCAGCGCTTGGGGGAGGCTGGGCATCCTGCACTTGCAGCCCCGATGAGATGAGCAGGGCCTCACAGTTCTCCACATAGCACTGGATCAGGAAATCCACATTCCACTTGCAGTGCATGAGGAGGTGTCGAGCAACATCATCCGATATGCTCAGTGTATCCTGGACATGCTGTACTGTCTGGTTCATGAGCAGCTTTGTCTCCTCTGGACTAAGTGTATGTCCCATTGGCACCTGCAGCATTGCCATGAGATATTCCTCCGCCCTGTCTATGCCAGGATTCAACCTGACGTGGAGAAATGTGTCATGTTCATACAGGGTGGAGATGCACACCCCTCCACACCTGATGACATGCATCCTTACCAATGCAGGCTGTCTATGCTGCCCTTGTCCAGAGATTCCTGTCGTGGCCTGCACTGGAAAGTCATCTGTGCCTGGCCCCCAAGAGGTGTTGTGCGTTCAGCAGAGATGTATTCCAAGACATGAGGCCG